GGGAGGGAGTGAGTCATTATCCGAAAGGGCCAGCCAAGTGGCAACCTTTTGGAAGACTTCTAAGATATTTCCTTTCTTTTTTTGAAACATATTTCTGTGGATTTCAGAGAGGAAGGGCGCAAGAGAGAAACATCAATGATGAGAGAGAATCATTGATCGGCTGCCACTGGGGATCCAGCCCCCAACCCAAGCATATGCCCGGACCGGGAATCGAACCGTGACCTCCTGGTTCATAGTTCAATGCCCAACCACTGAGCCACACCAGCCAGGCGAAGATATTTTCTTATTGAAACCTCTCGACAACCCCAACAGATGGGTGCCATTATGGCGCTGTAGAGATGAGGAAACTGAGGCACAGAGAGGTCAAAGGGCTTTCTGAGATCGCCCAGCACAGACGTGGCAGGAGGGGTTTGAACCCAGACAGAGTCTTTGCTATCAACCCCTATGCCGTGCTGTTACCTACTCAGGACTCTCGGGCCGGGGGCAGGAGCGGGGTGTGACTCCAGGGTCCTGGGCCACCCATGCATCAGGACCCCGCCACTGCCCACCCGCCCCAGGTCCGCGTGGAGTTCCCCCACAAGGAGCCGCTGTGCAGCGCATCAAGGCCAGGAGCCCCATCCCGCCAGGTGGTGGTCCTGCCCCCCACCTCCACCAAGGTGGTGCCTTTTGTGCTTCTCCCGCTTGAGATGGGCAAAGCGGAAGTGGAGGTCAAGGTCATAGGCTCCGGGGTCCGGGACCATGTGAGGAAGACGCTCCTGGTCCAGGTAATGGGTCCGCCCGGGCCATGCTGACAGTGGCACCTCCCCTGTGTGGTCATGGGAGGGACAGGTGGGCCCAGGACCAACAAACAGGCCTCCCGGATGGGAGCGAGCTGAGAATCACAGAGCCCCCACTTCACAACTTTGGAGTCAGACCTGGGTTCAAATCTTGACTCTTCTGTGTGACCTCACTCAGGCGACGCACTTAACTTCTCTGAGCCCCCATTTTCTCATTGACAGAATGGGGGTGATCATCACAGCCATGCACAACTAGAGGCTGTGAGAATTACATACGACTGTGCATGACCCATCAATAATACTTTATTGTCTTAACAAACACATGATGAGGCCTTACAATATAGCACTTTAAGAATATTAACTTGCCGAAACCGGTTTGGCTCAGTGGATAGAGGGTCTGTCTGTGGACTGAAAGGTCCCAGGTTCGATTCCGGTCGTGGGCAGTCTCCTTCCCTGGTGGGGGCGTTCCCCCAAAAGGAGGACCCTCTCGTGATGACGCCTCTCCGGGGTGACCCACTCAGCCCTCCATAGTGATGGTCCCCCCCGGACAGAGGGCCTGTCAGGCAGCACCCACTCAGCGACGTCCCTGCCTTGCCTCTGCCAGGAGGAGCGTCTCCCACACCTTCCCGGTGAACCTGCCCGATTCCATGACCACGTGGCAGCTTGTGGCCATCAGCCTCAAGCCCGGACAAGGTGACCCCGCAGGCCCGATGCTGAGAGAGCGCTGGGTGTCCGGCCCCGGGGCCGCAGCTTCTGCTTGAGCTCCACTCCACCTCCTGGTCCCAGGTCTCTGCGTCTCGGAGCCTTTCGAGATGACGGTCCGGAAACCGTTCTTTGTGGATCTGAAGCTGCCCTTCTCCGTGGTCCGGAACGAGCAAGTCCAGATCCAAGCCGTGCTGTACAACTTCCTGAGCCGCCAGGTCAAGGTGAAGCC